CCAATTGAATAATGATGAGTGCGACGCGAACTGACGAGAGAGAGTTTGTAAGAAGGACGAGTGGTGAGGTTGTAATTATCTACAGCGGCAAGTGTAGTGACATCTCTCTCTTTGATTCTTATTGGCATCCGGCAATTTACCATCCTTCTTCAATATGTGATCGTCCTCTTTTACTTTATAATAGAAGCCTAACGTTGTGGGATTATTTTCCAATGCCACATGCAAAGATTTGTGATTCCCTAACATTATGCTCATATATCCTCTTCGATCGAGTTTCTTTTTCCAATGGATTTTGACCAACCGAGATTGTTAGCACTTGCCTAATAAGCATGAAGGAATGAATAAACATGTGTAAACGACGAATTTTCTCCTCGATATGGACATTTGATTTATTATTTGGTCCGATATTGATTTTTATTGATTTGATGGATTATCGAATCAAGGATTTGTCTTATCCTTGTGTATTGAGTTGATATGTTGTAAATGGGAGCCTTCAACTCTTTTGATGTATGAGTTGTTCAGGCCTCCACCTACTCTCCTGACCTGTAATCAATATGAAGGATAGGGCTATCTCGAATTTGTTATTGGCTTGAAACCATATTTGAATTATGTCACTTTTGTGATATTGTAGATTATAGGACATGGAGCCGGCGAAGCATAGACAAAGGCCGAAATTATTCATAGCTAGGCCAGACGACTATATAGCATTGAAGATATGACCAAGACCAATATGATGAGCATATTGAATTGTGTGTTAAGGATAATCGGATCAAGATTTGAGAAGAATACTTGAACTATAAGGGATGCGTATCACACTATTGATATTTATATAGGAATATGTAAGTATAATTATATTGATTATTCGATAAATGATATTTGTTCAATTTAGCACTCATGAGGAGTTGAAAAGCCATCCATTGTCGTTTTTGATTGGGTAAAACTGTTTTTGAAATATGAGAGCAGGTGCTGGCAATATGTATGCCGATTGAAATCTTGGAAATCATCCTCTTGATATCTTATATTATTTGCTTTCAAGCATTTGGGAGGGTAGACTTCATGGTAGATTAGATTTCCAAGATGCATTATTGTTTGTCGATTTTCATATATGATTTAATTTATAGAGTCATTGCATCAAGGAATATTTAGTATTATGGAAGATTAGAGAGCATAGACCATATGGAATCATGAACAAGGATGCTTTATGATGTGAAGTATGTATTTAAATTGCAATTTAGACAGCTTTTTATGTGACTCGACACTCATAACACAAAACTAAAATAGAGAACCGATACTTATAAATGGTTTCGTCTAAGGTATTGACTTCATATCCGAGAATTGAAGTAGTATTTGGACATCATTGCTGAGTGGTCCAATATTGATTGAGTATACATTCAGTAGAACTTTTACAACCTAGTAAGACTCTATTTGGAATTATATGAAAGTGTCCTACTTGGCTACCTGTTATTTTCATCAGTCAGCTTTAGGTACGCAATGTATGTTGGCTTACAATTCTGAGATATTGAATCCTGCCCTATTTTTGGAGTCAACAAGATGAGGAGAATGAGTTGCCTGAACGACTAGGGCTGGAGAGGAAGAAGACTTTATTGATTGGAGATAATGGAATGTAGTGTCTTTGATATCAAGTTAGACTGCGATAACATCTGAGTCCCTAGAAAATCTTGAGAACAGCGAGACTACTGATACGGATATTTAGAGGAGATATAGTCAATGTGTATGGCTTGGATCGTTAGGTGTATAGAGAGTCGATATTGGGGATCAGATTAGAGTATCTATCCAATAAGTCATTGAAGATTAGTCGCAGTTGGAGTATATGTTGTGTAATTAGTGAAGAAAGTTTGTTTTCGATAGTCTGATGAATTGGGAGTTGAGGTGAAGTGACTATCGTATTGCCGAAAGGATGTACAAACAGATGTGTAATTAATATTGAATTGTCTGATATGCTAAAAGGATTAGATGATCATATGGTAGAGGCGATATATTAATTGATTTAACGACTATTGGGACCCAAGATCTCGGATAAATGGTTAAGTGAATTATCGAGAGAATAGATTTCCTTATTCGGGATCTGCGCATTTGGAGTGAGTTTCAATTTTGCAACTAAAGGATGGGATGCTTTCATTGTACAAATAATGAAGCAAGTTAGATGACTATAAAGTGAGGTATGACGATCAGATCGTTTCAAATTCGGTTGAAGACTGAAATCATGGATCGTTCCTTGCTGATATAAGTGACTGGAAGATATGGTCATGGATACCAGAAGTAGGCACGTAGATTGATCTGCAATTGCATAGGAGTTCCAAATGCACATAGATAGACGTTGTATGTATAGGCCTTGTAGGTTTGTATCATTGGGTGTTGAGTAACCCAAAGGTGAGGTGACATGGGTCTTTTGGGAGAATGATCTCTCATGGATTATAAGTTAGAGAATTGTGATTGTCACTCGCTTGTTCGACATATGAGAATATCTGATTGAGGACACATCGATACAGGCATAAAGGGACTCTTCAAGAGAATTGAGGAATTGACCCGCTAATTTTAAGGTCCTCGGGTGGACTTAATGATTATGGGTCCATGATGCTTATGGGGATAGCAATAGATAAGACTAACCTAGTAGACCTTTAGGTGGATTGTAGATAAGTAATTTTTGATTTTGAGGGCTTTTTATCATTCAGTATGTATGCTTAGTATTTCGTAGTTTCTGAATTAGTTAAATGAAATTATTGGTGATGCACCTAAATATCGTATGCTATTATGAAAATTGAATTTAACGACACACTGATTGACCTGAATATATAGATATATAAGATGATAAACACTACTACGTTGATGGATTATTGACTAGAGCACTTAATTGATTTGTATTGGCTGAAGCTACTATTGATTTATCGATGATTTCCATACTGCATGACTATGATTTGTATTTCCGCTGTGCATACTTGATTTTATTGACGATGGAATTTTCGTATTGGCATAGATTCATTGACCATGATTGACTTGATTTTAATTAGGACCTGCATATTGATAGCATCTGGTGCATGTGATTTCAGTTGTAGGCTTTGGTGACCTGCTGGCTTTGTAAGCTCATTATATGTGGTTTAAATTTTCAGGTTCCCGAGCAGACAACTGTGAATGGAGTTCGTCAAGAATTCAGACCGAAACGAATCCTTTCACTATTTGATTCTGGGGCATCACACATTCCATCAAACACCTTCTGAGCATATGTGACCTTCCCAATCTTCACATATGAATCAATAAGAGTTGTCAGTACATGGACCCTAGAGTTGAAGCCGTGCCGAATCACATGGCAATGGATATGCCGAACTCTACGGAGTACCAGCTACACCTACAGGGAGGAAGCAAGGCATGCCTTGAGCGCGTATGAGTATGAAAAGCTAACAAAGTTAACTACATTGCGGCCCATCTCTATAAACAAGGATAGCACCTCTTCACCCTCTTCTGCCATGACAAGGGACTTCAACATGGCATTCCAAACAAAGATGATATTGTCAGGAGTTCTATCGAACACGTTGCGAGCATCATCAAGAGAGTTGAAATGGGAATACATATAAATGAGCTTGGTGGAGAGAAAAGGGTTGTGATAGAACCCGTCGACCGAGAGGCAACAGTCGATGGCGGGGGCATAAAAGTTGGAATTTTGACGGGTGCTTGTGATGATGAGAGACTCGTAAGTGCACTACGTGGAGAAGGAGCTTGAGAGCTTGGCTGAGATTGTTCTGCTTGCAAAGGGATTGTATTAAGTAGTTGTAATTGTTGGTTGTGGGAGTTCGAGAATGCTCGTTGGATGCTTGAAAGGAACAATGCAAGCAAAAAAGGGATCTAAGAGAGAGGTAAGAAGGAAGGAAAGTAGAGGGGAGTTATGGGCTAGGAGGCTTAGGGAAGGCACGGGGAACAGGGAGGAATGGGTGTGTGTAAAAGGTCCTCATTGCAAAGGGGGAAGATGAATCATGAATACTACGGAGATAAATAAGTACTTCACCTAAAAATTGTGGATTGTTAACCCATACGTCATCCGTAGATCAACCAGAATGCGCCATATCTCCTTTTTGTTCGATGCCGTAGTTCGGTACTGCTCGATAACAAAGCTCGATATTGCTGACGTGGCTGCATCTAATTCATATCCGGACTTAGAGCTGTGTCCGGCCTCCGCACAGAATAATTCATCTGACAGAAGAAATGTGCTACTCTTATCGCCATGTTGAAAAGGATAAATTATTTTGTGAGGAGCGAATAACCTTTCAGATTACGAGTGTGTGTATAAAAATTGATATGTATTGTGTACAAATTTGTACACATTGTGTACACTTATATGTCCGAACGATTCTTCCGGTCCAGACTCCGCACAAAATAATTTCTCGTTGAAATGGGAATTTGAAAGGTCTAATATGACTAAAATTGAAACCGATTGAGTGAATTAAACGAAATTGAATATGGGGGAGAAATCGAGCTGGTTATATTATGATTTCAATTAGAACTAACAAGTGTGAGGTATAAATTGATCGATGAAATGGAAGGCATAAATTTCATAAGAGTTGAAGGTTATTTGAAACTTAATTAATTGACAGGTAAATGCAATTAAATCTAATTCGGCTGGACTAATAGAATATTTTATGGAATAATTGAAAGCATTAGATCATATTAAATAAAATGAAAGAAATTTTCGCATAGGGGTGTCAATTTTGGGTCACAGGTCAGGTTCGGGTCGAACCCGGAACTGACCCGATACTGTTCGGGTCAACCTGAACCTGACCCGTTTTTACAAACGGATCAATTTTTCGGACCCAAACCCGACCCGCTTCAGGTTCGGGTCAACCCGACATGACCCGAAATTGGGTGCCAACATGCGCGACAGGCCTGGACGCAGTAACTGTTGGCTAGCTCTCACATGGGCCTGGACACCGTCACGCTGACGACGGACCTCGTGCTCGAGTCCTCACCCCCTCGGGACATCAAGATGCAGGCACGCGGACACGCGGTGACGCGGGCGAGTTGGGCAGCCGGGCAAGGGCGAGAACGTGGGATTTGCCACGGGCAGACGGGTAGCGGCGAGCAAGCGGGGCAGGGGCGGGATTAGCCACGGTCAGTGGTGAGCCGGTGATTGATCATGCGGCAGCTCGGTCAGCGCCTCAGCGGACAAGCGGCGGGGTCACGTGACCACGTGGGATTGGCCACGGGCAGCGGTGGTCACGTGGGCAGTTTGGTTAGTGGGTCAATCCGGGTCATTTCCGAATTTTTGGGTCAATTCAAACCCGACCCGATTTCTAAAACGGGTCAAAAATTCTAATCAGAACCCGACCCGAATTTTCGTGTCGGAACGAGTTTTGGGATGGTGTAGAATATTGACACCCCTAATTTCGCAGTTCACAGTTTTTTTTTTTTTTTGGGACATTTAGGCCATTTAAGGCAAACTCATACACACAACGCATACACATAGACTCGAACCTTGGACCTCTTAGTTGGAAGCCTAACCTCTCAACCAATAGGCCAAGGAGAGTTGTGTCGCAGTTCACAGTTAACAGTTCACACTGCCGACTGGCCCTGCAGTCTGCAAGCACTCTTCTGCACCTTAATTGAAAAAGTTTAGACCTTTATGGTAGCGAGGTCTTTGACAGAGAAGCACACGAAGGAAGCTAGGGTTTCTTCTGAGTTTATCACACGTGTCATCTTCTCTGAGTATTTATAGAAGGACTCTCTCTCCCTCTCTCTCCTCAGCTAGACGGCCGGGCCTTCGTGCTCTTCCGAGTGAAGCTGATCTCTTTTAGCAAATACTTTTGTTTGGGACGAACATTATTTACTCTCCTTAAGTTCTCTCAGTTTTATTTTTTTGTAAGCATTTGTTAGAGCTGCATATTTCTCGGCTATTCTTGCAGTTTTAATCCATCTCTCATCCGTTGACTTGTACTGCTTTCTTTCATGGTTCATTGAATTTATCTGGAATTTTGAGTGTCTCCGTGAGGTATTCCTTGAGTGTACTGTTGGAGGGAAGTGGTTCATTGGGTACTCTAATGGCGTTTTCTGCCTCGAGTATCAGGTTGCATGTGCAATCGCCATTGCGTGATTCTCTTGTACGGATGAGTATTACTAATTGCCATTGCAGAGATTTTTTGATTGAGGCCAGCAGATTATGGGTACGGAGAAGACCAAATAGTCATTGCTCTCTAGTTTTGAAAAAGGAAAATTTTATTGCTGCTTGCTTTTCTGCGGGTGCTAATTTTTTCGCCAAAAAGAAGGGAAGCAAATTAGCTGTAAGAAGTGAGTTGCAGCCGGTGGCGGGTGCAGACTCTACCGAGTTGAGAAATTCTATCAAAGAGACTGACAGAGATTTTTCATTTAAGAAGGAAAATATGTGTCTTGATTCAGAATCTTCTCCAAAGCTTGATCATGGAAATGGAAATGGTAATGGAGGTCACTCAAGTGGAAATGGGAAATTTCCACCTGGAGGTGGAGGTGGTGGTGATAACAATGACCATGGAAAGGGTGATGACAAAGAGGATGAGTTTGGACCTGTTTTAAAGTTTGAGGAGGTGATTAAAGAGACGGAGTCAAGGCATGCTGTTCTTCCTTCAGACATGCTTGAGGCTGCAAAGACTGTTGGTATTCAGAAAGTTCTTCTGTTTAGATACCTGGAAATGCAGGTGCTTTCTTCTTTTTCTGTGCAATCAATCTGTTTCTAATGTGGGAATTGAACTTAGTTCTACCTAGTTTAACATCTTCCATAATAATTTTAATTTGTAGGTTTAATGTCTTCCGTAATAATTGCAGGCATCAGCGTGGCCTCTTGGTATGGCAATGAAATCCTGCTCCCTATTAAGAAACAGAATGCTTGCTGATCCCTCATTTCTTTTTAAAATTGGAACTGAGGTCAGGGATTATTTTTCTCCATGATCAATATGAGACCACCATTGGACCATTACTAACGCCTCAACAATCTTTTTAATTTTTGGCAGATTATCATTGATTCTTGCTGTGCAACATTTGCAGAAGTTCAAAGGAGGGGCAAGGATTTTTGGGCAGAGTTTGAATTGTATGCTGCTGATCTTTTGGTAGGGTTGGTAGTTAATGTGGCTTTGGTCAGTATGTTAGCACCATATGCGCGATTTGGGCAGCCATCTTCTGCGAAGGGCTTTTTTGGGCGTATGGCACATGCCTATGGATCTCTTCCTAGCAGGTACTGACTGGCTTTACTTAACACTTGGTTGCAAAGTGTATAAGAAAATAATCAAATATAATAGCGAGCTTTGTCACAGCGGTTATTGTAAGAGTTTTAGTGTGATTCTGTTTCTTTTGCTGAATTTATATTTAAACATTTGATAGGTAAGTCAAATGATAGAGCAATTGCTAAAGTTGGTATAAGGCTAAAGATTATGATTACCATTGCAGCATCATCAACAACATTTGCCTTATCTTGATTATTTGGGTTGGCAATTTACCATTTCTGGATAATAATTTATGATAATTAGGTTAATCGATTGATATAACATTATATTAGGCAAACTACTTGGTTATAAAATACTGAAAATGCCTAAACTTGTGATCCCAAAATTTGCTCACAATCAAAACCAGTATTTGCCAAGGGAAAAATTGGCCTCTGCATTCAGTATGATCAATGACTCAAAACGTGAATCTCCCTCATTTTTAGTAACTTGTTTACACGGGCAAAGTGTTACTGAACATTCTTTGAGCTGAATTCCATCAACAATGCCCTCACCTTTTCAGAGAATTTAACCACGTCATTTGTTTTTTTTTTTTTTTTTAACTTCTTTTGATGATAAATTCTGTTGCAGTGTTTTTGAGGCTGAACGACCAGGATTCAGATATTCACTACAGCAGAGGATTGGAACATATTTTTTTAAGGTTTAATTTACAATTTAGTCTTCACACTTGCATCAAGTTGTTGAATGTCAGCATCAACTATTCTTTTTTGCAGAAACAGATCATTAGATGTAATTTTCATGTTCTTGTTGCAGGGAATTCTCTATGGGTCGGTTGGGTTTGCATGTGGGATTGTGGGGCAAGGGATTGCAAATATGATTATGACAGCCAAACGGTAATTAAACTCATGAATACGAAATGCATTACTGATATTGTTAGGATGCTTATGTACATACCTGTCATTGTTCCTTGCAAGCATCCTTGGTTTGCATCTCCACTTCTTTCTGATTCCTTGTTCAGAGATTTCCTAGTTCAGTGAGTTATAATCTATTTTTATCATGTTGAATGCGCATAAGTGATGTAGGGAGATCATTTGGTGAATCATCATAAGTAACAACTCCTAAGAGCAAGAACACAAAAAATAGTAGTAACGACAAATTCCAAAATTATTCATTCTGTTATATATACGTACTACAACTTGCATTTATAAAAGCAAAAAAAAGTCCTAGAAGATTCTAGAAAAGAGGTACAAGAAGTGATCTACTTTTTTTAAGGCCTGATTTAACTAATATGCTCCGCATCATTCTCCCCTTGTCTGAATGTGGATGAGCAGGGAACTGAGAAAGAAATAATTTGGAGTTGAACTTAATGATATATGATACTTTTATGCAATTTCTATATTTAATTTTTTTTTTGCTCATGTAATATTTATATTTTTGTTAGAATTCATAGAATTAGAGAGGGAAAAAAGATTGAATTATTATTACACAAATTTATCCCTATTTACAGATCTATGCAGGATATCTTAATAAAGAAACAAATAAATACAAAATTATTCATAATTGCGCTAATATAATCCTTCCTAAATCAGCCATCCGAATATGGAAGGAGATTGACATAATCCAAGTGAGCCTCCTACGGATCTCCATCCTTGGCCGTGGGATCAAGGGCCAAAGGGATGGTCGGTATTTTAACACTCCCCCTCAAGCTGGGGAATACAGATCAATCATTCCCAGCTTGGTAATTAGTCCAGTAGAATTATCAAGTCCCTTAGTGTATCATAGTCTTCCATTTGGTCAAAACTGTGGGAGAATTAGCTTCAATGATAAATGATAGCGATGAAGGCTATAGCAATCAAGCCTGTAAGGGCAGCAATGAAGGCTGCGTTGACAATAGCCCTCAAGATACCGAAAATGGAAATAAAGGCCAATGGTGGGACAATAGAGAAGGTGGATTAATTATCCTTTAGATTTGTCTCCTTCTCGATTCTCAAGGGAATGTCGCGACAATATATAGCAAAACTCTAGAAATGAAGGCCAGAGGTGGGAACATGCATTCCTCATAATTCCAGCAATAAAGGATGGTAGAATGACCAATATTCCTCATAATTCTGGCAATGGAGGCCGGCAGTAGGAACCTATATTCCTCAAAATTTTGGCATTTTTTTGGAAATACCTTCCCGGTTTAATAAACCAAGCTGGCGACTCTTTAAAAGAGTAAGACCGGGTAGTTTAGGGCACGCACATTCGCCCTTTCTCTCCGTCCCGTCTTCAGCGTACAGGGAGTCTGCCGTACCGGTTTCGGCGTACAGGGAATCGGCAATGATCGGTGTCGGCAGCTTTTAGTCACGGATGCTTCTAGCTTCTTCTTCTTCTTCTTCTTGCTCGTTTCCTCCTGGACATTAGGGCTATGAAGGCCACAATCTTCTCTTCTTCACGATCATCTGGAAGATCCGACCGCAAGAGCAGGCGAAGTCTTGCAGACGGGACCAGGCGGAGTCTTGCAGACTGGACCAGGCGACCCACGTGCGGGTCTTCTGGACGGCAAAAGAAATCTCCCGCACGTTCGTAGGGAAGCCGCGGCTATCGGCGGGGTCTGGTAGCTTCACTCCCTTATTCTTCTTTTCCTCCTCTGACGATCTAGGATCGTTCTTCAACGGCAATGAAGGCCGTTGGCTCTGATATGTTAGAATTTATAGAATTAGAGAGGGAAAAAGGATTGAATTATTATTACACAAATTTATCCCTATTTACAGATCTATGCAGGATAATAGGATATCTTAATAAATAAACAAATAAATACAAAATTATTCATAATTGCGCTAATATAATCCTTCCTAAATCAGCCACCCAAATATGGAAGGAGATTAGCATAATCCAAGTGAGCCTCCCACGAATCTCTATCCTTAGCCGTGGGATCAAGGGCCAAAGGGATGGTCGGTATTTTAACAATTTCGATTATATTTCATGTCATTTATCACTAGCCACTTTACGTCTTGTGCAATTTTTTATTTTATATGTATGTCAATTTGTTATTTATAGTTTGATAATATGTCTTCTTTTAATATACTATTTGGATAATATATAAAAAATCACCTTTAACCTTTGTTTGCACTTTACACAATTTTTTGATTTTGAGGCTCAACCTCACAATGCCTTGAGGCTTGCTCACTAACAAAAAGCGCCTCAATACTCAATTGTGCAATTTTAAACCTTGCGCCGTAGTCATCACAATCTCACTTGAATTGTAGTCTCCTTCAAGATATACTTTTCCACTTTACTATTGTGTATTTGTGATTTAAAAAATGCTAAGACTATTGAGATTGATCCTCACTCCATCGGCTCGATTTCCCATTGGCAATAGGTTGCCACCGGTTGTGGGAAGTAGTTCCAATCAAGACTTTTGGCAACCATCTATGCATGAGGCTCTCAACATCCATTGGTTGGACAACCATGCCTAATTTTTTCTTTTCTGGTCAATCTTTGATGAAGCACTGTCAAAAACATTGTAGAAACAAACTTCAATGACTCATGTAGAAAAAAAAATAAAGACTATGCTCTAGTCAAAATGATGCTCATGATTGTGTTCTTCAGAGATACATCGAGGCATGTGCTTTCCATCTACACATATTTCAAGCAAGTACTAACTACCACAATTGGTGTGGCAAATACTACACTTTTCAGGGACATCATATCTCCTTCCTCAACAACATCAAATCTCTTATTAAATGGATTCACGCTCAAGCTATATGAGATGCAGCTTGTGGAAATTTCATGAAAAGAAAACGTGCTTGTTTATTATTGATTGATTGTTCAATGAAGAACCAATCTCAGCTCCTGGTTGACTATAACATCCCACATTACCCCTTACAAGTAACGTAGAGTGTCACATAATTAAACGTAACATTCATTCTCTACATATAATATTTCTCATCATTTGTATACATATATAAAAACATCCACGGACCAATACATTTAATGAATTAATAGAAGTATCTAATTAATCCCAATCACATCACACAAATGCTTACAAAGTCACTATAAAAATCAAAATACATTACCACAAATTAGTAGGTTACACACCTCGGCAGAAGATATCACAAACATTGATAAACAGAAAACCTAAATATTCTATAACTTGCATAATCAGTTTCAACTTTTTCTTTTCTTTTCCTTGTAATAACAGTCAATATAAAAATTGTTGAACTATAAGGCTAATAAAGTTATGCAATTTTAATAAGAAATTAAATGCAATATTATAATGAATAATATAATTGAGTCAACTAAAAAACATTTGCCAAACAACTTAAAAATCATATTTAGGATAATTCTTTAATTCATTTGAAATATGTACAGAATATCATAATTAGTCTTCTAAGGATTTGACTATCATTTTTATATAGTTAACTTTTATAATTTCAATGGAGCCCAGGTAAAGCTGTCATTATCACTATTGAACTACATAGAAGCCACTTTTTCCTCTTTCAAGACCCCTTTTGCCCCACATGCAATGCAAATTTCATATTTTGGGTCCTTTTTACCTCACCTGCAACGTTGTATCATGTTATTTCATAGCCAACATTTTCTAATTTGACATTCAGCAGACTTCAAATATTTGTAATACCTATTTGGTTTGTATTGTTGCATTCTTTCATAACATCTATCTGTTATACCATTTGCATACAAAGAATAAGTATGTAACATATGAATATAATGAACTTCTTTTTAAATTGTTTTAACTAGAGAAACCTTTAAACAACCATACTAATATACTATATCTTAATTTAAACTCTATTCATTCAAAAATACAATTAGTTGCTTATACATGAATGTTTACATACATGCTCATATTCCCTAATCGATTCATCTTAATACATTTTTTCATTCAATTGAGTCGATAACATTGTATGCTTCTAGAATTTATAATATTAACTTTTATAATTTAAAATTACATATCTTATCTCCTTGACGAGCTATCTCCTCAAATCCTTCTCCTCGTACTCTTCTTCATTTGTAAGTTACCTATAAGTCATCTCTCTAATTCTATAATTTCCACAAATAAATTGCATAAAATCAACTTATAATAACATAACAATTTACATCGAAACCAATTTCTCTTCTCCTTGGTTTCTCTTCTCCTCATATACCAATTAATCCTAACAAATTCGATATAATTATCTTTAGAACTTTTACTAAGTTTAGGAAATGCAAAAGAAAACCATAATACAAACACTGCAACATAAGAATTTACTTACCTTAAATTCTTCCTTCCTCACTATTTTCCTTTTCTTCTTACTTTTTTTAAATCAATCTTCTCTCAAACTGCTACAGTTCTCACACAACCACTCTTCTCATGCATTAAGGCCAACAACTTCAGTTTTTCCCTTGACCGATTCTTCCTGCAGTATGCCAGATCCTTTTCTTGCACTGTGCCGAACTCTTCTACTCTGCATTGTGCCCAACTCTTCTATAGTGCATTTTGCCGAACTCTTCTATTGCGCACTGTGCTGAACTCTCCCTTGAAGCCATTCTCTGTTCCTTGCTTCTCACAGCCGAACACCACTCTTTGTGTTACTATTTAATCATGAAGGCAGAATATAGAACAGTCATTTTTATTTTAAAAATTTGTTCACCTATTCTTATTAAAAATGTGAGAGGACATGTAATCCTCAAAATAATTTATTGCTTTTATGCAGTCATTTTACATGAGCTGTCTTAAGGTTGTTTGTTATAAAAAAAAAAAAAAAAGCTTACAGATGATCCGGTTCTTACTAAAATGCTGCTTGCTTCAAATTTAGAAACTGATGATACAGTAAATTTGAAAATTAGCAAGGGTGAATCTTCTAGTAATTTTAGGAACAAAAAGACATCTTCCGGAGGGTTTATGGCTTATTAGAGCTGATGTGATTAGTGACGTATCTTTCCATGATTTTCCTTGCTAATAACAGTTCACATAGTTCTCTGAGCTTTACAATTATTTTAAGAATTAAATCATCTACCTGTTTTATATTATTATGTATTCTCCTATTGATTTTCCTTATGTTCACTCTTTGTTTTCTTCCCTTGCAGGAATGTAAAGAAATCAGAGGATGACATACCTGTCCCACCTCTTATCAAAAGTGCAGCACTTTGGGGTATCAGTCATCTCATGTTATTAGTTTCTTACTTGCCCATATGGGGGAAAGCCTTCTTTGAAGAAAGTTATGGTTTATATGTTTGAAGAGTTGATTTATTTTTTTTCAGAATTGTCCAGATAGGTGGAATTTTAAAATTTAAGTTTTCCATAAAGATCTCATTTACAAATTTTTTTAAATGCTTGCACAATCTCTTTTTCTCAATAAAATTTTATTTATGAACTCGCTAGTCTAGAAATCAAGAACTAAAAGCCTATTCAATTTCAATTTGATTGGCAGAGTTAAGTTTGTTAGAGACTACATTAGGAATCATATCAACTTTTTTAATCAATTTATAAGCTTCAATAGACATCATATGTTTATTTTTCACATTCAAGAAACACTTTATAGTTCGATCAGTCGACTCCAACTACAACAGCCATAATTTGTTTAAATCCAGATTTAGTATTTGATCCATTTTCACATAGAAGTTCATATAATAATCTCGATTATATTTAGATTCTATGTGTGATTTTGGCTCACATATAATATTAGGTTTAAAGTTAACTTTATATTAAACTTCTCTTTGCAACTTAGACACAAAATTAATCTACTGCCCAAATTTAATTTTCAATTTTGACTCTCATTCAATTCTAGGCTCAAGTTTTGACTCTTTTTTAGGCATAAGTTAATTTTTATATTTAGTAGTTTTTGTAAGAAATTTGGGTTAACAAACAATAATAACTCAATTTTTATTAGGAGTTCAAATTCACAATAAAATAAAAATCATCTTCCAAGTTAGGCTCAGATACAAATGTTGGTTTAATTTGTGCTGAAGTCCAATTTCTAATGATTATTTAGATTCAAACTCAACTCAATTTCAAATTTACTCTTGTTCAAATGTGGATTCAAGAATATGTGCTAATGTAGGTGTAGATTTAGACTCCTTAACATTAAAGCAAGGCCATTGTAATTGTAAGCTTTCACCCAATTCCTTTTCAAAAGGGTATTCATGAACTATAATTTTTTTAATAATAGCAAATTTGACCATGCATGTTTTTATTTTTATTTATGTAGACATTTTTGAGTGGAGAAGGTAAAGATTTGTCTTTATAGATTTCAATTGTGGGTGTGGTATTACTAACGTATAGTTTGGAGTATGCTTTAATATTCAAAGATCTGATTAAGTCCTCACGTAGTGTTTTGGTTAATTGTAGCTTAAGATAATCTGAAGGCCTAACTTAGGGTTAGTAAAGTGTAACTTAAGAAAATCCTAATATCTTGCCTAATGTTGGGATCGGTGTGAAGAAGGAGACCTGCAAATAAGAAAAAAACAGAGCACAAGAAACACAAATCTTCGTAGTTTAATTGATATTGTATTCTAACTCTTCCTTTTATCATTCACTACATATGTTCCATTCCACTTAGCTGTGAGTAGAACTTACTAACAAAAGGTTGTAACAAAAATAAAGTAGTGAGCTAACAAAATAGTAAGTAGTGGAGAATGAAAATTATAGAAGAGGGTAAAACAGAAAGGGAATCATAGGCGTGGTCCTTTTCAACTATGATGCACCGCATTAGTTCTTCCTCACCTGAGAAGAATTCGAGTCCAGTGAGGAAGCCTCCGTTTAAGATGAACCAGGAGGATAGTTCGAAGAAATATTGGAGACATCAATTGTCGAAGAAATATTAAATTCAGAGGCTAAATTAAAGATAGGCATTATCGTTGATCTTCTGCACTATAGGGACTGAACCCACCTTCCTTCGACTTAAATTTGGAGTATGTATCGGGTGCAAATCGCTTGCGACGCGGACGTACCATAATCAAATTAGCAGCATTGAATTGTTTTATTCGTCGATGTGCATAAGCAGTGATTTTGTATTTTACATTAGAAGCTATAAGTTTATTGTGAACATCTGTGAGCATTTGTGAGAACTAATCAGAGAATGAGCTAAATGGGCAGCGATCTAAAGCATGATTGGGTGTTTTGATGTAAGCAATGCTAAATGGGCAACGATCCGTTGATCGAATAGGCATGGAATTGTCAACAAATTTGTCTTTACCCAACACTTCATCCCCGCCCTTTGGATGCTCTTGAACTAAAACATCCTAACATATTTCAAAGTGTACGATTGACCACTTTAGTTTGCCCCTTGGATTGTGGATGATATGCCGAGCTTGTATTTCTAAGTCCTTTTGACTGTTAAATACTTTCTTTGGGACAAGTAGTGTTGGGACGACACAAGGACTCAAACTTGGTTGTATTAATTGTTTAGCCAATAATTCCTTTACAAGTTGTTGTAATAGAAGGTGTTCATTTGGACTCATTTTATAATGTCGTAAGTTGGGAAGAATGGCACTTGGGACGAAATCGATCTGATGTTGAATTGCATGCATGGGAGGCAAAGCTGTTGGCAATAAATCAGGTTCAGGGTCTGAAAATTTCTATAATAATTTTTGAACCTTAGTCGGAATGTAACATTACAAACTCTTAACTATCGAGATATTGTCTTCTTTGGCATAAGAGCCTCACGGTTTTTTCCTGTTAGTGTAACTTCCAAATAGGTCACCCATCCCATAATTGCTCTGGAATGAGCACACTTAATTGCAGAGTTTCTTAAATAAATTCCAACTATTACATCAAAAGACGTCTCGATGTTTAAGAGTTTAGATTCTTTTACTTTAAAGGGTTTCACACGGAACAAGAATAGTTTTATTCATACTGCATTGCTCTTGAAGAACCAAGGCAAGTAATAGGTAAGTTTCCTTCCAAGTGGTAAGAAGAGCTGAGCCAGACACTATATATAATGCAGTTTTAAACTTAACCAAAGTGCCATTATTTTCAGCCGAATGTGATAGCAATCTCAATTTTTAACCCTTCCAATCAAATGAGTAGGCATTAGCTCAACGAGCATAGATAGTGCCAATATTAAATTGCCACGGTCTTCCTAATATGATGTAACCAACATCCATATCTATAACATCACATAAAACTTCACATATATAATTTTTGCCAATGGAGAAATCATATATATAATGTTTGCCAATGGAGAAAGTCACTATGCACATGTCAGAGACCAAAATATCCATACATTTCTTGACCTAGATTATTTTATAGGGATGAGGGTTCTTTGTAGTTTTAAGTTGCAATGCTTGTACTATAGCCTGATAAACAATATTTTCGATGCATCCACAATCAATGAGTAAATCACACACCTTACCTTTTATGGTGCACTTGGTCCTAAAGATGGCATTTTGTTGTGAGTTTGATTGGTGACGATGAGCTAACAAAAACTTCTTCATAAAGCATATGAGTGGTTCACCCTCATCTCCACGACCTCTTCTAACTCGGGATCCTTATATGCTTCACTAGTGAGTTGATCCACTCATTTTCAACATCTAATAACTGCAATTGCTGTTTGTTTGGACATTCATTGAATTTATGTCTCTGTTGAAAACACCTGAAGCACTTAATGGTATTTGACCTTGCGTATGGGTTTTCTTTTAATGGAGCTTTTTTTGCTTATGTTGCATTTTTGGCTCTCCAATGGTAATGGAAGGATGTTGCGATGCTGGGCAACTATAGGTGTTGTAATTTGTTTATATTTATTCGAAGCTTGTCGAGTTGTTTTAGAAAGCTATTCCATAGAATGACGATGTGAAATATGGTGCCGAAGTGAGCTGGATTTCGGCCTTAAGAAAAAAGTTAACAGCTTTCGATAATGACCACACATAATTCAGCTCAAGCCAACGTTTTAAAAGGCGAAATCGGGAATCGAGACGTTTTGGCTAAGCGAGGCGAGGCGTAAGCCTCGAGGCGGATCGAGGCGTAAGCCTAAAAAATGATAAAAATAAAGTAATTAACAGTGCCGAGCATGTACCGCTCGGTACCGAGCATTTACCGCTCGGTACTGAGCGGTACTGGCTTGATACCGAGTATGTACTGAGCAATATCAAACATGTACCTAGTGGTACTGGCTTAGTACCGAGCGTGTACCTAGTGGCACCGAGCATGTACCGCTCAGTACCGAGCATATACTTGCTCAGTACCGAGCGGTTCTGGCTCGGTACCGAGAATGAACTGAGCGGTACAAGCTACTCAATAATTATTATTAATACTATTAATTATATATTTAATAATATATATTTTAATTTATATTAACTAGGCTAATTATATTAATATTTAATTAATAATTATATTACTAATTAGTCAATTAATTTATGCACTAATTATACTATTAAGTATTTAATTAATTTGCTTAATTATTAATATTTAAATTATATCAATTAAGTTAATCAATAATAACTTAGTTGCGTCTAGGGTTTGCCTTTCATCTTCTCTTTTCGTCCTTGTTGTTCGGCTTCGTTGCTTCATAGGAGGTGTAGAGATTACACGCGTCGCTTCATTGGCTCCTTTGTGTCTGTTCGACGACTTTCCCTTCCCGTCGGATCATAAGTTACGACATTTTGATAAGAAGAAACAACGGGAGCTCGTTGGCTCGCTGGCTTTGAAGGTAACTTTCTCCCTTTCTAGGCGCTGCCTCGATACGCCTCGGCGCCTCACGTATTGAGGCGTACGCCTCCGTGGAAAAAGGCGTAAGCCTCGCCCAGACGTTCGAGGCTTAAGCCTCAGTTCGCCCGACCTCCGCCTCGATTCGAGGCGCTCGAGGCGTCCGCCTCGAACGCCTTTTTAATCGATCTCAAGCTTATCTTGAATAGCATCTTTGAGGCCACCAATTGATTAGTGGTCTCATTGAGATTGTTTCTAGCACTTATGTGTTAAAATTCTTCGATATATTCACTCACAATTCTATTTCCTTTGGTGCAATGTTAGAATTTAAGGTGTAACATCTGTTCAAAGTCGGTAGGTAAAAATGGGCGTGAAGTAACTATTTCATACAATGCAAACTACGAACATGTCCTCTACCCTCATGCAGTCGAGATTGTATGAGTTGTAACCACCATGCGCTAGCACCGCCCTTAAGCCGACAAACAATGTATTTAATTTGTTTTTCGGGAACAATATCCATGTAATAAAAGAATGTCTCCACAACCCTCTCCCAATCCAAATAATCCTCTATATGTAGTCTCCCATCAAGGAACGGAATGTCGAGTTGCGCTCGAAACTCGCCATGGTGTTTGCCAATCACCTCATGCCACCTCCTTCGAATGTTATGGGCTGGTACATTGTCTATTTCAGAATATGAAAAAGTTTCTTGTCTATGATGTTGATTATCATCCTCTGAATTTGTAACTTCAAAGAAAACAAGCACTCGTCTTCAATCACAGTCACCATGGCCTCCCCAACGAACCTCAGGCATGGTTTCCTGTGTAGTGTCGTTAGTGTTGTGATGGATTCTTAAACCAAATTTGAGTTATTGTAACTCCAGTTGCACCTCCATTGAATGGTGATATACTTCAGATGCCAATTCGTCTACGTGCCACACTAAACTTGTTTGGGCTGTCGACAATGACTCAAGACCGCTATTGTCGTCGCCAGTTCCTTGTGTACTCCAATCTGCCGTTCTCCACAAGCACCAGGCTCTCTAATACCAAATTGATTTAGGGATTGGTGTGAAGGAGACCAACAAGATAAGAAAAACATAGCACAAGAAAAGCAAATCTTCGTAGTTTAATTGATGTTGTATTCTGTCTCTTCCTTCTACCGTTCGCTTAGCTGTGAGTACAGCTTACTAACAGGAGGTTGTAACGGAAATAATGTAGTGAGCGTGCTATGATAACAAAAAGGTAAAAAGTAGTGGAGGATGAAAACTATAGATGAGGGTAAAATCGGAAAGGAGTCATAGGTGTGGTTCTTCTCAGCTATATGATTCATTGCATCATTGCCTAAGAATTTAAACAAATGATATCATGATAACATGGTAACCTCAATGGAAATCACATTTAATCACAAAATTTGCAAACCTATCTTAAAATACAGGGACAAGTGTTTATCCAATTGGCTTTAATATTCTCCATGATATATTGTTCCTTAAGTATATCTCTAATGTTTGTTAATCCAATTTTGATTGCAACACTACATCAAAAAGTTTGATCATATTCAACTAATTTTGTTTTCATTGTTTTAATTTTTTATAGAGGTTGTTTGGTTGCTAAAAATGTTAATTGAGTCCACATTAATAATTATAATTTTATGAAATTTTGTAATTTTATATACATTGATAAAATACATTGCTAGATGAACTATCACGACTCTATACTTTTTAGCATACTAGCAATGTATCAATTGAAAATATATTACTAGATGAAATCTATAGCATATCAATTCTTTCAGATCAATGAAGCTCAATAGAGTTTAGTTAAAAGATACAACTAAAGATCTTAAAATATTGACAATATCAAACTAAAGTCTCAACACTCAACATATTTTACAAAAGCTATAACAGTATTGTTGGCATTCAAAAGATGTATACTTCATTAATTTTCCCTGTATATGTTATCATCAATCACCTAATGCTCTCATGGTAAAAATATATGCAATTATAAAACAATAATCAAATAGATGAAACTATGAAAGAATGAAATCCAGTACAAAGTGCTAAAGCTACAACATACCAATTTCTCTCTTCTGATGCAAATGAATTATTTTTTTAACTCCTCTCGCATCCATCGAGTCTTTGACTTTATAGATTTTAAGAGAAAGGAATGAATCATTATTGTGTTCTTGGGATAAATTGTGCTATATAGTATCAATCTCTTCCTAAAAAAAATCCTGGAATGCTAGATAACTCTGGCATTAGCAACCTAAACATTTTTTTCCTCATAAGCTTTTGTTGTTGTTTGAATTGCATTAGCAACTTGAGTTACACTGTTAGCCATCATTGCAATATAGTCATGGAGACTATGATCATCAACATGCATTTTACTCTTTTTCCTTTGGATGGAACCTTTAAAAGATGACGGTGTTGCTCGCTTTGTCGTTCCTACAAGGTCTTCTCTAATGTTTTGTTCATTACAGTCAACATGTACTGATGTATCTATAGGAGTCTTCATAAAACCAATTGTCTCTTCATCATCCAAGTTAATATGTTGAGTACCAAATAGAGCTTGACAATTTCCTGACCTAGCCGAATTTCCAGTTGCATGACCTTCACCACAAACTTTATCTAATTCCATATAATTCGGGAGAGGAATATTCATATATATTGTATCTTTGGGAAAAGCTTGTAATTATTCAGATTAGAAAACGTAAGAGATAGATTACATCTTTCTATTTGTAAAATCTTTGTATTTGTAAAAATTCATCTAAATTTGAAGTATTACCTATATATATGATAGAAACTCCTCTTGACCCATCAATATAGTCTTTGTACTGTCATCCCAAGACACTCTAGCTTCTTTCTTAATTCTTGGATGTGATTCCAAATACTTATTTGCCATCGAACCTGATGCATTGCTCAGTTGTGATGTCAATACCAAATTTTTCTTTTAATTTTTGGGCAGATCCTGATAGACAACATCTTTGAAGCCTTGAGTACTTCTCATGTGCATCAACATACTTACCCATTATTTGTAATAACCAAGATATCCATTCGGATTTTAGGCTAAAAAAAAAGTTTTTTTATCTTCTTAGATTTCACACTTGATGCATTAGATGAACCTTGTGACTCCATTAATCCTGCGAGTTCATACTGGTTATTCGATCTGTTCAGTTCTGTTTTAGCTATGAAGCAGTGATTTATGATGTCCCATTTATGAAAGTCATTACACAAATGATGCCTTATGAAGCGTGGTAAATTATGCAAAGTGGCTTTATATCACAACTTAATGAGCATTATAATTTCTTATGAAATGAATGAAGCAAATTGTACATAACAAAGTTGCAAAATCCCTGAAAATTCCAAGCTGCTCGTTACTTCACAATTTAAAACTGCAAACATTATGAACTTGGGCAGAAAATGCTTACGATTCTTCTGAGGCTTAATAAAGTAGTAAATGCATATCAGGAAATTAAAAATCTTGCTCTCTTAACCGAATTTGAAATTATTTTATAGTGATTCGAGAATATTTTATTACCTTATCATGCATTTAACTAATATTTGTTTCATCAACAACCTAGATCCTAGATATCTTGTATTTGATTAGCTTCCTTTTCTTTCTCCTCTGTTTGTTGTTTGTTGGTTTGAGTTTATTTTTCCTTAAATGGATAAGGGGTCATACCCAACAACACTTCTTAATTGATTTGCGCTTGCCATACAACTTTCCTTTTAGACTTGATGGCAATTACCCAACTAAGCTGGCTTTGCAATTTTCATTGTGGTTATATACTTTTTTAGTATTCGTCTGTTCTTGTTGAATGTTGTTCTGCTCGTTTTATTTCTAGTTCTTGTTTATGTATACCGTTTCAAGCTGTCAAAATTTGTAAATCTGATGCATCCATGAAATGCAATAATTTCTTGGGGACATGTTGGCTGATTTCCAGGTGTGTTTCTCGCGATTTCTTCAAACACTCGCTACCAAATAGTTAATGGCCTGGAAAGATTGGTTGAAGCATCACCTGTTGCTAAAAGCATTCCGCTTGTTGCCATGGCTTTCACTGTTGGCATTCGGTTTGCTAATAACGTTTATGGTGGCATGCAATTTGTTGATTGGGCTAGGTGGAGTGGTGTTCAATGATCATTGGTATGTTTTCTTCATTTAAGCAGTCTACTTTGAATTTCATTGAAATATACACTTACATAACACTTAATAATCCGATGACCCGATTAGGAAAGTAGAGGTATTAGATTTCATTTATATTAAGAAAGATAGAGGTAGACCTTAAAAAACTTGGTTAGAAAATATTAGAAATGATCATTCTTTATTAGATTTAAACGAGAATTTGACTTTTAACAGGACACAATGGAGATTTAGCTTCCTTGGTGATTTTGTTTAGAAATGCTTTTTGATAAACTATTATATTGTATAGATTTTCGGCACCTCCCAGTCATATCAACGTGTTTGAAAATTATTTGCGAAGGTTTTATTCATATTCATTAGGCCATTTGGTATCTAGTAATAATTTGAGGTTATATTTTTTATGTAACATCTCGCAAATGTATGTGTAGAAAAAGAGCATCAGCCTTCGTTTGTTTTGGAAATGATTTTCTTTGAACATTTTCTTATGGTATTGGAGCTTGCTTCATGCTGGTTTAGGAATTGCAATCTCTTTAGCTCTTCTCTAAAGCGCCATCAGAGGTCGACAACAAAAATATTCCCAGCTTAGTATTTATATTTCATCCTTGTATTTTCTCTCTTTCTTGATCTCTCATGGCACTTATCCTGATTGAAACCCATGATGGTCGATGGGCATTCCATCTCTACCTCCTTTTCTCATCCCCTCTCTCTCTAGTTATCATCCATCCCATCTTCTCTCTCTCATGCGCTCTTTTTTTTGTTTAATGTACTTTGTCTTTACTTTCCTCACTCTTCTCTAAAATAAACTAGCAATCATTATCTTTTCACTCCCACTCCTTTGACGTAGCAGTGATGTGATATTGTAGTATTGCTACAGGATCTGAAAGAAACCAACACTAAAGCTTTTGAACCCTATAAAATTAGTAAAAATCTCATAAACCATGCAATTTTTTAAAAGTGGCTTGCACGCTTAAATTAGGTGTAAGCAAGCTGAGTTTGAGCCATTTTAAATGTTGCTCGGCTTTGCTTGTTAAGCAAGTAAGCCTAAATTTTTTATTTTTGTTTGCCTTGTTTACTTACTGAGCTAAATACAAGTTTTTCATGATGATTATGTGAAAGTCTTGTACAAATTATAGATTATGTGTCTCTGCACGTGTATATTTATTTATTCATACAAATATACATGCATGAATATGAGTGTACATTATCTGTACAAATATACATGTATAAACACATTCAAGTGTATATTATACATAGACTTGTGTGTATGTGTACGCACACATACATACATGCATATAATCAAACTAATTATTGAGTGGAGCATGATTGACTAAGGCCATGTTTGTGGTTAGCTCGTTGTGCAAAAGAGCTTGACTAAAATAGTATAAACAATCTAATTATTGAGTGGAGCACGATAAAAAATGAACAACAAGCCATTTTGAGAACATTACACCTAAAAAGTATGGTTGCCCAACTTCGAGATGCTAGGATCAATCTTCGACTATTATGCAAATGAAGTGACTTTAAAAAGAAATAGAATTTCACTTATGATTTTATTTTAATTATGTGAAATACTTTTGGAAAGTATATAATGCTAATCATAATGTTAAATTATAATGAGAAAAATAATGAATTTTTAAGTTCAAAATTTTGTTAGACTAGTCCAGGAGGACCGGTCCAGCCAGTCCTAAGGGGATATGAGAGAATTTGAAATTCTTTTCTATTCCAGGCTGCCCAGCACTAGTCAGCTCCCCTTGAGAAAATATGAAGAGGGTGTGAAGGTGATCTGAATGCCAGGAAGAAGGATGCATGGCTCAGTTTCTCTAAGGAAAAGTGATGTTGAAAGATTGTTATTATAGAGGAAATGGTTGAGGCCTGATTGCCACTGACCAGTATGTCATGTACATATAATAAGAGGTAAATTTGTGTGGTGGAGGTCGTATAGATTAGTAAAGATGGATTGGAGGTGCTGAACTGAAATCCACGATGGAGGAGAAAATTGGAAAATATGTGTGGGGCTTGTTTGAGATCATAGATGGAGTTGTGGACTTCACAAACATGAGTGGGGTAGAGTGGATCTATAAAGTGTGGAAGTTGAGACATTTGTACAATTTCCTGTAAAGTCACATGGATAAATGCATTGGACGCCAAGTTGGGAAACAAACCAGTTATGTTGAAGTTCGATGATGAGTAGGAGATGGATCGTAGGCATTTTGTCACTTGGGCTAAAGTTTTGGGAGCAATCAAAGCCATTTTCCTTTTTAAAACCTTGAGCGAATGGATGAGACTTGTAGCGCTCGATAGAACTGTCTTGATTTAATTTGGTTTTGTATTGTCCAATGACAATCGAGAATTTGAAGTAACAGAAGGACCCCAATCATCTGTATGTATTATTTCTAAAAGTTTTGAAGTTATAGAAACTTTGGGATTTAAATAGAGCTTGTGGCTCTTTGATACATTGCAGGAAGTATAGACAAAAGACTAGGAGTATATGAGAAATGCAAGTGTGCAACTAATTTAGAGATTACAAAATTGTTTGGATATTACAGACGAGAGTGTCTTAGCTGATGAGGAGGAGAGTTGAGTGATGAGAGCAAACTGGAGATGTTCAGATCTAGCCGGCAGGATTGGATAAATACAGTTACTGTTGCGGCCTAGGAGAGGTATTTGATTGGTCAGGCAATCATTGATGAAAAATCCATTGGAATCAAACAATACATAACAATTATTATGTGAGGTAAGCTTGTGAAAGAAGGTTGTGAGAGATAGTGGGTACATGTAGAAGTTTATTCGGAGAGCTTACGATAAGGTAAGGGTGTAGGTAGAAGACCTTGATCGCTATGTGTGATGTGAAGTTTGGTGCCATCGCCTACAGTGATTGTGTTAGGTTCAAGATAGGGTCATGGTTGTTGAAGGTTATTAATGTCTACTGTGAGGTGAGTTGATGCACCAGAATCCAGATAACAGTTGCTAGGAGAAGATTGTTGATGTGAGTATGAGCCGGTTGGAGGTGTGGAAGGCGAGGCAGGATATTGGAGATTGAATTTGGAGGTGTGGAAGAAACTCAAGTGGTAGGAGAGTTGCGTCCTCGACTAGGTCGATGTGAGCAACCCCGAGTGGCAGAGAAGACAGGGTTAGCATATGAGGAGTGGAGTTTAGAGTTTTCGATGAAGGGGTTAATCTCTTCTTTGCAGTGAATATCGATCAAGGCTAATGAGAGAGTTTCTTGCGGATGACAGTTTTAAAGGATTGGTAGGTTGCAGGATCCTGCAGCTGAGATATTATCAATGAGAGTTTTGATGTTGGTTAAATGTTGGGTCATGGAGTGGTTATTCATTTGAATGTTGTGAATTTTGTTTTTGAGTTGAATCACTCTTGATCTATTGGTGGGTTGAGGTCTTTTGGTCAAAACAGATCAGATTTCATGGCTAGTAGAGAGATTGAGGATGTAAGGTAGTATAGACTGAGAGATGGTTTAGTAGGTGCTGTGGAGAAATTTTGATCAAGTAGATTCCATGATCCATATTCAGGATTGGGGAGTAGTTCACCAGTAGGGGATAGAATGTGCTTTGGAGGGCAAGGACTGTTGCCATCTAGGAAGCCTTCAAAGACATTAGTAGAAAAGATTTTGAGGAGTTGGAGACGCCAGAGTGAGTAGTTGTCTCTTGTGAGTTGAATATGAACAATATACTTTATATTGGACATGAAAAATTCGAGAGAAGAGGGTATGAAGATGGCTGTCATGGTGGGAGAAGAGTATTGGGGAATGGCATGGTTTGTAGAAGAGGTGCTTGATTTAGTAATACTAAGAAAGCTTGAAGGTTTCATGAAATCCACAATATTCCTGAAGCTCTTATTAGCAATTCTAGCAATTTGAATGGCTTGAAAGTTCCTCCTAATTAAATTTGAGTTAATATCTTTGATTTAAACGTTACTTCCATCAGAAGGCCAAGTTTTCAGGTTGAATGAATGCAAATGGCGAACCAACTCCTGCAAGTCTATGGTTCTTTCATGTTTATGAAGTGAAAGTGTCCGAATACTGTAATCAAATTTTCTTTTCAGGACTAGTGTGGAGGGTATTTTTTTCCCCAGTGTATTTCACTGCCTCTCTTCTCTTACACCATGTAATGTTACCTTGAATAATAATTTGATTAATTTCTGTTTTATTTCAACACTTGCAGGGATATGTTTTTTGAACATGAGGAACACTTGTAAGCCTGCAGGATCTGATTTGCAAGGCATGAATCCTTCATGATTATTGACTGCTACTGCAGCCAAATGCCAACATCTATAGCTTGCTTGATAGACTATTGTTTTAGATTCAATCAATAAGATTCATTGCTATTCTATTTCTTTCTCCTGGATGCAATGTTAAAAATGCTTTTCGAAGCAAGACATGGCCGACAATACACCAAGGTAGCACTGTATGATTGTGATAATATTTGCGACTCCATCAATTAAGAACAAGAACTGTTTATATTTGTAGCATAAATTCATCAAATATTTTTTGTAGTCTACCAATTTAGGAATGGAGATAGAAGTGAATAATGGGTAATATGTAAAATAATTATATGAGATATGCATGATCGATGCTTCATAGGTAGGAGATTATAATTTAATTGATGATCAAATTTATAGTTAGTATTAAGAAACATAATGTAACGGTCTAAAGTCTTTTACTATCTAGATATTGTTTGTTTTGGTCTAATGGTCACACAGGTTTATCATGTTGGTTTAACTTCTCATGAGGTCTAATATCTCAGAATTTCTCTGGGATGAGCATGTTTAATTATTGAGTTACTTTAATGAAATTCTAACTATAACAACAAGAGATGTCTCGATGGTTAAAATTTCAACTTCTTTTACCTGAGGGATTTAACATATCAACTAATAGGGTTAGTCGTATATCTCTCCAAATAAGTTTGATGAATATTGACAAAAATCCCTAAGAGCGGCTTCTTCCCACCACCTAACTTTGAAGGAAGGGCCATCACAAGGCATTCAAGAGGATTAATTCTATTTGTTGCACATAGGTGCACATGATATTATTATAAATATAATTTTGAATTGTTTTAAATACCAATTTATTAAAATAAACACCTTAGTATAATGATAAATTAGTTTATTATTCTTTTTTAATTAATTTTTCATTATAAGAAAAAGAGTTAAAAAATACAAATAAAATTTGAGCTCTCTCAAAAGATGCATTAATAATAAAAGGATAGACAATTACACTCTTGTATGTTCATGTGCTGGGATTGTAAGTATTATATTTAATTTTTTATTACTTTGTTGCGTTCAGGAATATTCACGGTAGAAGAGAAATATAAAGCTTAACATCTTAACTTTGTACAAAGATCCAGCATGTAAACATATGAAAGGTATATGGATATAGCGTTCATAAGAGAAATCATAATTTTTACGTGGAAACCCCTGAAAAAGGGAAAAAAACATGGTGCTTGCCTAGTTTAAATGAATTCACTAGTGTTTGCAGTTGATTACAAAAGAGACCCTTCGCTGGGGGAAAGCCTTGGCTCGATGTAGCAAATATACATCATATAGAATGCATTACATGGTGGGAGTTGGAAGAATTAATATTTATATGTTCGTTTGGTCAGCATAACCATATATAGTTGGCGAGCGATGTAAGTCGGAAGGACCGTAATCGGGCGATGGAGGTCAAAAAAATAGTAGTTGGACAATGATGGTTGGAAGGACCGTATTAGAGTGATGGTGGTTGGAAGGATTGTAGTCAGGCGACGACTGTTGGTGAGACCTTAGTCTGGAGATGAAGGAGGTCAAAAAGATCGTAGTCTAGAGATGGTGGTTGGAGAAACTGTAGTCAATAGGCGTCAGAGGTTAGAAAAATAATAGTCGGGTGACGGTGGTCAGAAGGACCATGGTCAGACAATAGAGATCTGAAAGACTGTAGTCGCTGATAGTGGTTGAAATGACCATTGTAGGCTAGTGATGGTGTTCAAAAGGACCGTAGTCTAACGACTGTTGGTGGGCGGGAGGAAATTAATCCAACCACAATCGATGGTCGGGCATAGGTTTGGCGATGGTCAGTGGTGGGACAATGGTCGAGTAGGATCTTGGTGGCAAAAGAGATCTGAGATTCTCTTCCTTCTTTCTCTTCTCCTCCCCATCCAGTACCTCTTTTTAGTGAAGAACAAGTGGCTTATTTATAATTTCCGGGAGTGACATGACCGATAAATAGGGAGAATTAAGACAAATTCACATACACAATACATACACATACTTTGAATCTCCAAGATATATTAGTTTTTAGTTAAAGCTCTAAACCCACAAAACAAAGTTAGATGCATCCTGCATTATAGTCGTTGGAGCTATTTGATTAAGATTTCTAACTGAATAAATTGTCGCAAATAAGTTGTAAATTGCTTGAGACATAAATAGAATAAATTATTATTATTTTATTTCCCATATCATTATTATATTACCAATTTGAGTATACATAAAATTATTATTACATTTCGATTTCTTTTATAATCTTTTACTGATTTTTAAAATTTCTTATGATGACTAATTATCTATATTTAGAGTATGTAACAAAAAAAAAATTTTTGTTTTTTTTTTTTTGAGAAAAAACTTTTTATGTTCATAATAACTTTTCATACATTTATTTTTCTCATAATTATTTTGACAACTAATGTAACCTACAACCACAACCATCTGATCAATTAAACGGCCTCATAATTATCAAATTAATCTTTGACATACATTATCATAAAATTAAAACCGCCATTATATTTGCAATTCAAGATCACAAATTTATATATGCTCCACAATACAATAAGCATTCTCTTCTTAATTACCTCGTATTCTTCAATAACAATTAAGTGATATAAATTAATACAGATATCAACTAATCCATTTCCCACGTTATTATCTCCTCCTTAATCAAGTCAATGGGCGGGTAATCATTCTTAGTTGAATCATCAAACTTAGCATTGAACCATAATATCGGTCCATAAACTGCAAACCGGCCATCGAATTGCAGCACAGCGATGTACCTCCCTTTATCTCCTTTCCTATTACTGCTCCAAATCCTCTGGCTTCCATGCTTGACCATCAACTCTCCATTGTTCTCCAACTCCAAAAAACAAGTAGCAGCCTTCGTATTAGTCTGCCACAATGTCCTCCCACTTCTCGTACTATTTATCACCAAATTACAGTTCTTGCTCAAGCTCAGCTCATACTCCCTGTACTTGAGCTGCTTCCCCATCAACAGTCGCTTGCCGGAATGCAGCACATACTCTGTATCTTTTGTTGGGCCAGGTCGGGTCCCCGGGCCGTGTTCCTTTGGGTTGTTGCTTACCCATCGACGTGACCCGTAGATCCCGAGTCGACCCGTGGAGTCGAGGACGAGAGCGTATTTGCCCTTCTTAGCCTTTTTGGCGCTTGTCCATAAAATATAGTGGACGTCGCGACGAACGACTAGTTCGCCGTTCTGCTTCAGAGCAGCGTAGCAGCTTCCATTGTTGTAATTGCTGGAGGAGTTGAAGGTGGAATTGGTAGTCCAGACTAGCTTGCCGGAATGATGGAGGACGAGGTCGCAATTGGGTTGCATAGAGAGGTGGTGGGGACCGTTGGTGAGGTTTTGGCCGGGCATGAGGACTTCGCCGTTGTAGAGGACGTAGTCGCCGGTGCAAAGGTTGAGGAGGAAGGTCATGAGAGTGAGGAAGAAGAAGAAGAATTGGGATGTGGAAATGGTGGTGAGGAAGGGTGCCATTATGGCGTTTGGTAGGCTTTGTTTGGGTTGATGGTTTGTATGAGTAGAGATCAGTGAAGGAATTAATATACATGGAAGAGTACGTGCGATGCATGCATGGAGAATAGAATCAATGCTTAAAGTGTGAGAGGAAAAAAATTTGTGTGAGGGGTAGCAATTATTGAAAATAAAAAATATTTATTTAAAATTGTAAAACTTATAAAAGTTTTATGTAAAAACGAAAAAAAAATAAAATAAATTTATATTATAAAATTGTATTCTATCTTTATATGTTTATATTATGAATTTTCTTAAGTGCATCTCCAACGGAAGAACTCCATTTTTCATGTCAAAATACCGCAAAACTTAAAAATGGCATGGTGCTGCTCCAATTGAACACCATTTTTTTGCTTATGCGCGAAGGTAACGATACTTCTCCTTTGGCACGTTTTTCCGGTTGAGAGAGGAAAATAGGGTGGGTGAACAGTGCAACACAAATATTGGCGTTGCACTGTTCACCCGCAAGCAAATGGCGGACGTTTTGGCGTTCGGCTGGAGGGACCGAAGGCGTTCGGTTGGAGATAGTCTAAGAGGTCAATACTACAAATTTAAATAAATTAATTATTTATTTTATTTACTTTAAATTAAATTCAATAATAATATAATCTATAAAAATCAAATTTGACATCTTATTTTTCAAATAAATTATTTCTGAGAAAAATTGCCGGCACATAAATTTTTATACAAATTTCATTAGGTTTCTAAATTTTAAATTAACTTGAAATTATGAGCGACATAGTAATAAAAAGTTATGTTTAAGTCATCTCAAAGCTATAATTAAAATATCCTAAAATTAATCTTAATCAGAATTAGGTTTGTAGATCTTGACCTAAAGACTTTTTTGGCAAATACAAGGGCACAAAGATTAAAGCATGAAGTAATGTGAATTTAGCAAGCATAGGAATTTGTTCAAAAAATGTAATGATGTAAGATTAAATATCTTGACTATACTAATATGAATTTTGTACTAAAAAAATTACTTTATAAAGCAATAAGAAAAAGCTAATCCAAATGAAGCCTAAGATTTCGTTTGAGATGATTTTTTTACAACTTAAAATAGTTTTCTAGTATAAAACTTTTAATTTTTATACTAAAAAATTGTTTTAAGAAGCAGTAAGAAAGCCGTCCCAAACGAAGCCGAAACAACTCTAATTAAAATCCTGATCAATTTTCAATATGCTTGTTAAGCTGGGTTTTTGTAATTTTGACTCTCGAATGATTCTAAGGAATCAGTTGAAGAGAACTCTCCTTGCTCACCTACTAAAAGGATTTAAATATTCTAGAAATATTATTGTCTTCTATCAAATTTAGAAATTTCATAATAATCTCTCTATTTTTTCAAATATTTAAATCTAGATGATATCAAAATCAGTATTTATAATAGGTTATTATCTCCATATTCATCTTATAAATCCATCGAACATTTATTAAAGAATATAAAAAATGAATAACTAATTAAGTACATTAACATTAGCAATCCTAAGATAATTAAATACCTTCCCACACATCTAGTTAATTAGTTGTACCAATCGATCTGAAAGACTTCAAGCACAGGAAAATTAATTATCTGAAAGCAATAATTAATTATAACAAATATTGAGATTTCGTTTGGGACAATTTTCTCATTGCTTTGTAAAATAACTTTTTAGTACAATTTTTTTTTCCAAAATTTTTTAAACTAAAATACTGTTTAAAAAAGCATTAAAAATTTTTCCCAAACAACCCTGAGATGGTTAATTAAAAGCTTGTCACAGTACTGCCGAAGCATTTATTTAGGCTTAGTTTGAGACGATTTTTTTATTGCTTTTTATAATAAAAATTTAGTAAATAAATTAGTAAAAAAAAAAATTAATCCCAAAAGAAACCTTAATAAACGTCACATATCATCCCTACATAGCGATCCATACAAGCAGAGAAAATAATTTAGTTATTATGGATCAATCTTACTGAGCCATACCGAACGAAGATAGCTTAGTTAGCACATGATTTTAAGTCAAAACAGGCATTGCCTCCTTGGAAATCCTTGCATACACTATCAAAAATCAGCCCATATCACATCGTTTCTTTGCATCGGTTTCAAAACCGCTGTCAAAACCTATCATTTGTTCCGGATTTAACATATAATTGCAGCGATTTTAATCAGTGCAAGTACTTGCACCGGTTTAAACCGCCGGCTAAGCCACCCGTGACTTTAAGATAGCTGAATCCCTAATTCCCCTCCCTCTTCTCTCTATGCTCGTGCGATCGGAAGCGAACATCCAAGCTGTGACGCAACTCTTCTCCTCTCACGAATCCCGATCGGCCGGCCCTTCGATCCTCACTGTGAGTCTCTGACCATTCATCATCTTCTTTTTTTTTTCTTCTCATTCTTTTTCTTCAAATTCTTCTCCCTCTTCTTCTCATTTTTCAACTGCAATATTTAGTGTTTAGGGTAATCCCTAAATTTAGAAATGAAGGCATTACTACTACACCAACAAAAGGACCTAAGTCATTATAACACAAGACAATGACTTGCATAAAGAGGCATAGGATCTTTCACCCTCATTCAACGATGACAAAAACCAATCAAGGTCAAAGCCAAAATTAACATCCCTACTTATAACAGTTTGATACATGCTGAGAAGCGAGATCAACTAAAGATTTATTAATTTAATCTCAATAAGTACTCTTCTTATTGGAATACCTCATTCACCCATCTCAAGCTCAACTATAATGCCTTAACCATATGGAATGCTAATCTCTAAAATGAATGATGAAATATATCTTAAGGGAAATTTAAGAGGTTGTTTTGATAATAATTCCACCATGTAGGATCATATTAATAAGAACATTGATGAAAGAAGAATAGGTTGCATTAGTAATAAGACCAATTTGTGTAAGAATACACCAAAAACATTTTGAAAGAATTCCTAGAGATCAATGTTTCATTGGATGATATATTTGTTCTAACTAATTAACAACGCGTTATGTTATTTAAAATTTCGCCAATAAAATGATTGATAATACATTTCTTGTTCTCAAATGAATGATAATGGAAGCACTAGTTGTAACCTTATTAAATCAATAGATGTTGTTTGAAGCTAAAGCTGATCAATCTAATTATGCAAACAAGACCTATAATATACTATTAGGAGTTCTTATGAGATGTTAAAAAAATTATTCTACATATGATAAGGAGCCGATGCATTCCACCATGTTGATAAGCCTTTGAATCCTTATCTACTAAGTAAAGAAATTGAGTTTCACATTAACCATAAGCCACTTTTATATCTTTAGTTATTGTCCAAACTACAATCAACTCAATATATAAATTGGTGATGTGCATTGTTTGGTATAAACAAAAAAAAGTTGAACCAAACTAATTTTATATGATGATTTGGTTTGGTTGTTAATGTATTAGTTTAATTATTAGTTATAGTTTTAACCTTCTTTAGTTTTTGGTTATTAGTTAACTTTTTACTTTTGTAAAACTAAAATTAAATTATTATATCATCACTATCAAAAATCAGCCCCTATCGCATCGTTTCTTTGCAGCGGTTTCAAAATCGCTTCCAAAACCCGTCATTTGCACCGGATTTAACATACAATTGTAGCGGCTTTAACCAGTGCAACTTTTTCCTAATATAAATAAACATATATTTGTACGATGCAATAATTGAATATAAATATAATTATTTCATATTCTCTCTCTTTAAAACATATATAGAGATATAAATCATGATCATGATATGCATCGAGAGAATTATATTATTTATAATGAGTAAGAAAAAAAATATATTAGGATATTCCTACTACAAAATGTACGAGGATAGAATGACTTAAATTTTTTAATATATTTGCTATAAACCTCAAGACATTTAAATTGTATTATAAGAAAATGCTCTTCATAAGAAGTTCAAATCAATTATTCTCATATTGTTGAGTAGATTGCAATGATTTTGGTTGCTTAACTCTTGATTCATTTGAAGGTGGTGATGCATTTAGCGAATTGAATTACTAAAAACATACATCTCTTATTACAACTATCACTATTAAAAAAACAAAAATCGCACTAATAATACTAACTATTATTATTATTATTAAATATATCCATGATAAATGAAAAAAAAAAAAAACTGAATAATATGATGTAGACTAAATAATGAAGTATGGAAAACTTTTAGGCCATAAACTAGTTGGGTAATATTTTCTTCTCAAAAATTGTTGGGAATTTATTTTCTCAAATTTGATGGATAAGAGCCGGATATCTTCAAACTCTTGAGCTCCGAAGGCAAAGAGGGCAACAGAAAGGCATGAAATTTATCATTCCCAGGAAAGGCATGGAAATATATAACATCTCCAGCTCTAGCAATGGAAAGACATGGTATTTATCATTCCCAGGAAATTTATTTTAGAGCCATTTTACTTTCGGCATGCAAGAAAGTTTCAGACTTGTTGGAAGTGCTTCCCACTTCCTTCAATGTATCAATTCAATTCTCTCTAGATTGGAGATCAGATTTACATTATTCATCCATATTTTGACCTTTCACCCATGTAATATATAATCATGTGCTCTATAGTTGATTAGGTTATTTATATAATCATGTGTTATATTTTGACTTGTACGCTTGTGTAACTTAAAAAGAATAGCTCTTTGTAAGAAGTGTAATTTGCTTTAAAAAAAAAGTATGGGCAGTTGTGGCGGTTTTAACTGTCACAATATTGTAGAATTGTGGCGGTTAAAACCGCCATAATCTTGAAGATCGTTTATTTTGATTATACTTGTAGTGGTCCATTGCAAATCTGGAACATTATAACTGTTATAACCGCTGATATAGTCAGCATTCGTTACTTCTACCCCATCGGTCCTGAAACCGCCTCTGAATGTCATTGCAGCGCATTATAATCACGGCGGCCATCCAACAGTTCTAAAACAGCAACAAAAATATTAGTGGCGGGTAAAACCGTCAGGAAAAGTCAAA